TCAAGATTGGCTTGTTTAGATTCAATTCACATGACAAAAACAAGAGGTAAATTAGGATAAATTATATTGAAACACAGTGTTTACAAGGACTGGTAATTCACCCAAAGCATCAAAGTTCTTCATGACAAGAATATGCTTTTAGTGGACTCAGGTGTTGTGAATAAATGAGTTTATGTTCCCACGAAAATCTAATTTACCTAGCAAGTGTGCATCATCTCCGGTGAAGAGGACATATATAGGTAGGCAGATAGATAGATACCAAGTATAACATGCAGCATGTCTTGAAGCTACATTGTGCTTTTTGAGAATCTATAGAAATAACATTTTTTATCAGCTTTATATGATTCAGTATATGATCACAAATGGGAAGAGATCATAGATACTGCTATATGCAAGAAATCTATCCACTGAACAACCAAAGAGTTCACAAAAGATAAAAATAAAGCTTGTTTGTTTCATTCAAACCACAACTTTTGGTGAGGAATCCATAGTGCCAAACTGACAACTCAGTAAACAATTGACCCAAATTCAAATGGGAGACACTCAGGCCCCCGGCATATGTTTGTGTAATGGTACAATGGAATTTATTCCTCAGTCCCAACAATCACAACTCCTGCCATACCTTACATACATGACAGGACATAAGATGTTAGGACTGGGGGTCAGATCCGTCATGCCATTACTGCTTGCCAGTACAGTGGGAGCTCAGGATCATGATCATGCACGTGTGGCCAGGCTAGCACTTAAGTGTAATGCTTTCCATAGGCTGAGATACCTACCACTTTGGGCTTTCCCTGCACTGACATGTAGAAAGCAGGGTGCCTGGTGAACCAAGGCAGTCCTAGGACTTGGACTGACAATCAGCTAATTGTCGATTTCCACCCTGGGATCACACTGGAGCCAATTTGAGACTGTGGTATGGTCCCAGGGCTTGTAACAACAATCAGCTCATTGGAGAACCCAGCCTTGGGACTACACTAGGGCAGTCCCAGAGTTTGCCATGAGGCCTGCATCAGGTCACATGGTGTGAACTGTGTTATTCTCAAAATACCAAGGAGTTAAACTTATAAACTGATAATGCTTGTTTATACAGAGAGCCTTCTTAGCCTACTGATCTGCTGTTCCCTCCTGCAATCCCCGGGGCCATGTAACAATTTATACATAACACTCTTAAAGGTATCCACCCATCTTCTCCCTTTACATATCCCCATATAATACTAACATTGAAAGTTTACTTCTACCCATACTTAAACCACATTTTAAAAGATCTTTATTAGTCTTTGGGCATTCCTACACCTTGCCCTATGGCGATGTAGCGACACGCTATATCACCATATGGCATGCTACAGTGATGTAGCAATCATATGGGTTTACATGCGATTGCCAGATACATTACCATAGTGGCAGGCTCCCCTGGTATAGAGTGCTGGTATGGTGATGTAGCAATGAAATCTAACCATGCATCACACGCACTGTGCAGTAACCACCCATACTGCGATGTGCTTTAGTAATTCCAAAAGGAAATACTAAAGCACAGCAAAGTAGAAATGTTGCTGTATTGCAACATGGGGATCCACCCATCCTGTTGGCTTTTTAACTCTAAGTGATCTTCTCATTTTCTCTGCATTCTCAGTCTTTATTGGTTCAGTTTTTGTTTGGTTTCCTTGTTCAAATGTCTTGCCATTTCCAATCTCCTCTGTCATTTCTTGTTGCTTTAATGTTAGCTCGGTTTCCCTTGCTGAATCTTCTGATGGTGCTTCTTTACTCCCCTTTACAAGCCGCAAGTGTCATCTGTGTCTTCATAACACCTATCCTTCCAGAGTGACTACTTTATAGGATCTGGGAGCTACTTAATGGGAAACTAGTGCTTTTGTTTCCATGTTTGTCCATTTGAAATAGACACCATATCTTTGTTGGACAGTTGTGGTAGCTCCCTGGAACCCCTGTCATAGTACCATTTTTGTTTTAGTTTATTGATTTTTTAAAATATTTTCATGACCTGCTTGTCATTCTGATGAGCATCATCCACAAGATTTGGCAGCCTGGTTTTGAGTTTCTTGTTAAACAGCATTTCTGCCAGGGACAATCCATGTTTCATGGGTGTTGCCCTGTAATGTAAGAGTGACAGGTAAACATTGGTGTGTGAATCTGTAGCTTTTTTCAACTTTATTTTTCACTATTTTCCACCAGACCATTGAATTGTGGGTATTTAGGACTTGAAGTGTTGTGATAGAATCCATATTTGTTTGCAAACTCTTTAAAATCAAGACAGTTGGACTGAGGTTGATTTCTGCTTTCACAATTTGTGGAATCCCATGTCTAGCAAAAAATGAGTTGATGTGAGTTATGGAATGGTCTGCTGCTGTGTTTTTGAGCAACGCAATTTCAGGATAGTGGGAATAATAATCCAGCACTAATACATATTTTTTTCCTGCATGTATGAATAAGTCAATGGCTATTTGATAGCACAGAGCTACAGGGTCCTCCATAACCATCACAGGCTCTTTTCTCTGCACTGATCTGTACTTTAGGTATGTTGTAAGCTCTTTTCTCTGCACTGATCTGTACTTTAGGCATGTTGTAAAAGCCGTTATAGTATCTTCTATGTCATAATTTTTATACATAATGTACATTTATGTACATTATCCCACATCAAGCACCCCTTCTCTCCTTTTGGATTTTTCAGTGCCTAGATGCCTCTCATGTATTCTGTTTAACATGTCTTTCTTTAGCACTGCTAGAACAACAAGTTGTTTTGAAGAAAATGCCATCTAGTACTGACAGTTCTTCTTTTAAATGAGAGTAGGGGCTAGGTATATGTTTGCCGGGCCAACCAGCACAAATAGCTGTTATCACTTTTGCAATATGGTGTCCTGCGTAGTAGCTTCTGCAATTTGTGCCCTCATTTTATCTGTGGCAGGAATCATTCTTTTAATTAGATTAACATGTACTATGCCTGAGTCTGGAATTCTATCATTTTCTATTGTGCCACATGCTCTGGAAAATATATCTGCAACAAGTAGATTCTTTTCTGGCACATACTGTATGTCTAGATATTACATTTACAGTTGAAAGAAAAGTCTCTGTAATCTGGATGGCATGCATGTCTGATAACCCTTTCTTTACTATAGTTACTAAGTTTTATGATCAGTTTCAGCTATCATCAGCTTTGCATAGATGAATATTTCTTACAGCCATATACCAGAACTAAACTTTCTTTCTCCATTTGCACATACAGACACTCTGACTTAGAGAGTGCCCTAGATGCATATGCCACTAGTTTCCAGCTACCACATTGTTTTTGAAGCAAAGCTGCTCTGAAGCCTTCTTTAAAAGCATCTGTTAAAAATGTAATGGGTTTTTTAGGGTTATAGTATTTTAGTACTGGATCTTTTATTATTTTTCCTTCAAGTTTTTAAATTCAGCTTCATGTTAATATTCCCATATCCACTAAGAATTCTTTTGTAGGAGTGATCTAAGGTGTTTGGTTTGCACTGCTAAGTTAGGTAGATATTTTCCAGGAAAATTGATCATTCCCAGTAATCTTTGCACTCCTTCCATATCTGTAGGGGGTGGTATGTTTATAATGGCTTTAACCCTTGCAGGATCAATTTGCACACCTTTCTCAGAGAGCTTGTCTCCCAGATATATTATTTCTTAGACCCTGAATTTGCATTTTTGTTTTTTTCAGTTTCAAAGCTGCTCTGCAAGCTCTTTCTAGTACCTTTCTTAGGCTTGTCATGTTATTCCATAGTATTTCCCCAAATTAATACATCATCAATATAAACCATAATTCCATCAAGACCTTCAAAAATTTGTTGCACCTTTCTGTGAAATACTTCAGGTGCAGAACACAGTCCAAAAGGAGACCTATGAAAGCAATACCTTCTGAGGAGCATATTGAAGGTACATAAGCTAGTGCTTTTCTTTTCTAGGGGAACCTGCCAAAACCCAGAAGAGGAATCCAAACTGGAGAAATATTTAGCTTTTGCCATGTTGCCAAAACCTTCTTTCCTGGTGGGAATGGGAAAACGCTTCCTTTTGATGTACCTGTTCATTTGCTTAGGATCCAGACATAATCTCAAGGAATTATCTTTTTTTTTTCTATTATGAGCAATGAAAGAACCCAGCATTTGGTTGCCCTACTTTTTCTATTATGCCATGTTAACTAATCTGTCTAATTCCTTTTTCAGTTTCTCACTTAGTGTCATTTGCTTAGGATCCAGACATAATCTCAAGGAATTATCTTTTTTTTTTCTATTATGAGCAATGAAAGAACCCAGCATTTGGTTGCCCTACTTTTTCTATTATGCCATGTTAACTAATCTGTCTAATTCCTTTTTCAGTTTCTCACTTAGTGTAAGGGGAACATTTCTTGGAGCATGCATGGTGGGAGTATTTGGTTATCTTAATTCTATCTTCTACTCAGTTGTCAGTTTCCTTATACCTTAAAACACAGCATAAAACTCTTCTTCTATGTTCTTGCTTTCTCATCCCTGAATGACATCCATTCTCTTAATCAAACCTAGAGTTTTACATGTTTGCAACCCAATAATTGGCACTAGCTTCCCTGGAACAGTTACAAACTGAACTTTTACTATATTACCCTTGGGCACCTGTACATGTCACAGGGTTTAATCCCCATTAAATTAAATAGGTTTATACAATTTAAAATGGTTTATTTTAGAGTATTGTGTCAGTGTTTACACATACTAGACTGTGTAAGAATTCCTGATTTTTCTTTAACTCTTACCAGCTACCACGGGCAATGCCAGCTGGGGATATGCCTCTGAACCAGGGACTTGTTTCAGGGAATGTGATTTTTTTGCCATTTGTGTCCACTCTGGCAGGCACTGTTTTGGTGCCTGTGCATTGTATGTGCTGGGGAGTTTATGCATGTAGTGCTGGAGGTGGGCCACCATCCTCTTGAACACTTGGGGAGGGCGGGGGAGAATGAAAGTTCACCACACCATGAACACTTGTTTTCCTCTTATTACCAGCTACGACAGCTGATGCCAACCAGGGATGTGCCTCCAAACCTCAGACCCCAGCTTGCACTGGAGCAGAGCACTCATTATCGCTGCAGGCAGCAACATTCCAGAGAGAGCATGAGGGCGGCTTTGGTGGATGTGGCACAAACCTGAGTGGACACTGCAGATGGTTGGCAGAAGGAAGTCCAGGAAGTGCTTAGGTTTAATGAGGCCTGGGAGAACTGAAGCATGGACAACATGATAGAATTAAGGAAGCAGCTCCTACACCACACATGGCAGTTTCTTGACCTGGTCATGCAGTGCCATGTTGATGTGCAGATGACACAAGACTGGATTAAGAATGTCCTGCAGTACATGAACAAGTGCAGCATCCATAAGCGGGTACCACCCCTGAAAGGGCACACTAGCTCTACTTAGCTTGCCTCAGTCCAGAAGGTAGGAAGGAGTATTAGAGCTGAGTCTGTTCCCTGAAACACAATGCAGTCAGCTGAGGGGCACATGAGTGCCAGCAGGGCCAGGAGGGCACTGCTGCTGTGACAGCTAAAAATTATATCTGTGTGATAACGGTGCTTGCTGAAGGCTCTATGAAAATTAGACCAAGTGTTTTTCTGTCATTTGTTCAGATATTAAGCTATATGTTGTTGTTAAGAGCCTAATTAAAGTCTAACATGTAGTAAGGCCTAGTAAATTTAGCAAAGCCTTATAGAAGTAATGGTAGATCCTGTGGCATAGTTAAAAATTAACCTTATCAGACGAATGCAAGGCTTGTACTGCTATTGGTCAGTCTAAGGACAGTTAAAGTAAAAAGAATCTAAATGGCTGAAAGTTATCAGCATAGCTCAGAAATTATAAATTAGCTGGCACATCCAAAATCATTTAGAAGGAACATACAGCTCTATGAAAGGAACTACAGATTAGCTGCTGGCCTGGATTCAGTGGGCCCGTAAATCTTGAGGAGCCCAAGGACTGAATACCAGGGTCCTTCCTGGTACCTCTTGGACAGCGCTAATCGGGGACACCTGACTTTACTAAGCTTTATGAAAAGAGAAACTTGTCATACATCAGGCATCAGAGGGGACTGCCAATAAATTGCCATCACAAATTATTATCATCTGTCATTATCTGTCTTAGTATATTATACGTAATTCTGTTTTTATTAAGTCAATAAACCTTTCTACCTTCCGACCACACTCTCAATCCCGAACCCTCCACAGGCTGCTAGGACAACTGCAGTTCAGAGAGCAAGGGGTGGGTCAGAGTTCGGGGGAGGGAAGAGGGAATGGATGGGAAAGAAGGCCAAGTAATCCACTGCACAATATTCTGTTTCTATTACTCCACAGGTGGCTGGGACATAAACTGGCATCACAAACAGGATTGAGAGGTTCTGGTCTGAAAAGAAAAGTCAGAATGGAGGGAGTTGGGTGGGCCCTGTTGGTGGCTTTGCTTAAGGAAGTGACAGGGATGGAAAATCCCGGGAGGGATAAGGATAGGTTGAGGCCTGCCTGGAGTAACCCAGAAATTGTACCTGATCATTGGGCTAGGTTTGCTGCTGCTGCCTGGAGTAAGCCCAAGAAGGGGTGCCTGTCGTGGCCGCTAGCCACATGCCTGTGGTTAGGGGCCAAAGAAAATGCTCAGCTCCCTACCCTGGGGGTCTTCAAGAGGAGGTTAGATAGGCATCTAGCTAGGGTCATCTAGACCCAGCACTCTTCCCTGCCTATGCAGGGGGTCGGACTCGATGATCTATTGAGGTCCCTTCTGACCCTAATGTCTATGAATCTATGAAAAGATCACCCAGGTGAGTAAGGAGTTAGAAGACGTAAGAGATTCCAACAGCGTGGTGTGCGAGGCTGTGCAGGCCAGTCAGAGCCACTTGGAGACATTAGAACAGAAGAAAGGAAAAATTATAATTGCACGCGTGGCTGTGGGTGCAGTTAACGCAGGCTGTGGAGCCATCCTTCGACAAGGTACGACAGTGTCTGTGTGGGGAGAAATCGGAAGCTGAGCTCTGGGAAGATCAAGCAGAGGAGACTGATGATGAGTCTGCCACTGAACCACCCCGATATGTCCCTGCCCAGAGGGAAGGACCTAGCCAGGTCTTCCCCATGATAGTAATCCACTCAGGGCCACAAGGGGGGAATCCCCAAACAGAGCTGCATTCATTTACCCATGCAGAGATCCAAAATATACAAGAACAGCATAAGTCCAAGCCAGGAGAACCAGTGATAGACTGGCTAGTTGGAATGTATAGTGATGGGGCATCCGCAATTTCAGTGAGTAGGGCTGAAGCATCCCAAATTGTCCTGCGCCATAAGCTCCAGTTAAATCAGTTTGCCGGAGGTGATGAGAATGTTACTTTGTTTTCTGCTGCACTCCAGGCAACCACTGTCAGTTATGGTAATATGGAAGAAGAGCTTAACCCTGCCAATTTAGTGTGGGCCAATTTAGAGGAGGCTGTCCACTGCTTGTATCAGTTGGAACTAACTGAAATCATTCATGCAGCAGTTTGGACTTGCATGCCAGATGCAGAAGTCGTAACAGCACCATTGTGGAGAAGGTTTTTGACGAGCACCAACAGAGTGCACCTCAGCCCTGTTGGCCTTGGAGCCAGAGGTGGTGAATCACCTGGTAAGAGATGCAATCTGGTGATTAGTGCAGCTTTTACCTTGCATAAGGCAGGGTTTCCAAGCCGACAAAAACTGCCAAGGCCATGGTGGTGGCCTCAGCAAAAGACAAACCCCCCCCCCCCCCCCCCCCCCCCAAATTGTTGAGAAAAGCTGGGGAAGCCAAGCCCAAGACTCCACGAGAAAAAATGTGGAACAACTTGTTAGCTGCCTGTTTCAATAAGGTGCAAATTGATAAATTGCCTACCAATGTCCTGCGAGGGCTATGAGCTAAACACTGTAGCAAAAAGACAATCCCAAAAGTGGAGCTTCTGTGCCACCAGCAGTGCCACCAGAGGGATTCTCTGCCCTCAGGGCAGAACTGTCAACATTTTCCTAGGCACATGCGGGGCCACCAGCCTTTACCCTCGCTGATCATGTGGCCTAGGGAGTCCGGCCGGCCAGACCCCCAAAGACAGGGGCCACAATGGGGGCAGTAGCGGGCCGGAGACTGGTATTTAAAGTTAATATTTGCCCCTTAATTCGGATACCTGTACAGATTCAATTAGGTAAAAATGAAAAGTCAGTTGATATGCTATTGGACATGGGTGCCCAGATTTGCATTTTAGATTCTGCAGATTAGAAGGGAGAGAAAGGAACCCCTTGTCAAGTAATTAGAGTTGGAAGCACCAGATGATCAGAACATCTGGTCCGGGGAGCTTCCTGCTAAAAGTGTCAGGTGGACCTGTTACCCACCCAGTTCCAGGATCACCATGTGCTGTAAGCATGTTTCAACCACAGGTGCCACAGATTATATACCAAATCACACATCTGATCAGCAAAGCTAAGTATTTAGACATTTCAAAATCAAGCTCAACTCAGGAGAGGAAGCAAACTCAAAGGCTCTCCTCTTATTGGATGGCTTACTTCCTCCTGCTAGGAAAGTGGGGTGTGGTTCCATTCAAGGACATTATCCACCAGAGGAAGCACAGTAATGAGCACAATTGTTTATTGTTTAATTATTCAAAACTTATTGTTTTAATTATTCAGGTCAGTCACTAGTCTCTTTGTGTAAATATTTAAAACAAATTAAAAATTTGTAGATTCTGACTTCTGTTCAGCAAGTTCAGGATCATTTCAGCATCAACTCTGCAATCTACAAGTACTAGAAGTTTATAGTCATTTTATTTTCTGAGGACAGATGGCAGCAAAGGGGCAGATGGCTATGCACCTAAGAGGAAACCAAAATATAAAAACCCTGCATTGTTAAGTTGAAAAGTATTCAGGTTCAGAGTCTGCTCTCAAATATGCTGTGTAAAACCATCTGCACCAATGAAATCATTGGGGTTATTTCCTATTCCCATAAGCATAAATGAGGTCAGGATATTGCTTCATTGGTTTATTATCCTTTAAAGTACAATATAAGAGCACAACTTTGCCAATTAAGATATAAAATGGAAAGAAGGACAAAATAATGATATAAAGGACAGCAAGGCATTAGAGTAAAGAGTACAAATGATTTCTCTCAGATTAGGAGCAAGAATGATGCATGAGACTGTGGGTCCACCATCTGACCTATCACTGCTAAGAAGAAGCTGAAATAATGTTTTGTATAAGTTTCCTCCCACACCACGTGGAAGTAATTGAAAACCAAAGAAGCATATTCAGTTACAAAAGCCCAGGATGGAGCTGGTTGAAAACCATGTTTCTTTCCCATGAAAAGTTTAAGAGAATTTTTTTTAAATAATATTTTTAAACAGAATTTTTAAAAGGAAACAAAATGTTCATGTTATTTTGAATCCATTTATATTTTTGTTTCTGTTCTTCTCAGACCTTCAGTTAGATTAAGTTTTCTAAACTTGAACATTTTTCTTATTGTCAGTTTCTGAATTTTGTATTTTTTCTCTCTATTCTCACCATTCACCCATCCTTGCCCTGCTCTTGTATCCTTCTTTATGTTCTATTTTTGCTGGTGGAAAAAGGCAAGGAACAGCAAAATACAAAGGAAAGATAAGGGAAATGCATGTAAGGACTGGTTTGTGGGTGGTATGGCCTAGTGGTTGGGTTACTGGGGGAGTCCAGGAATCAGGGGAACAGTCCAAATCATATACTGAGTCAGAGGTCTAAGATCAGGGATAAAGTTATCGGACGAAAGGGGAAAATCCATAGGCGAGTCCAAAATCACAGGATAGATTAAGGTTCAGGAGTCAAAGACCAAATTACCAAAGCTGAGTAGAGTTCCAAAAAGCCAGAGTCCAGAGGCAAAGCCAAACAGAGTTAGAAGCCAAAAAACCAGAGGGTCCAGCATCCAAACCAGAGGGTATAGTACAGTATCCAAAGATATATATATATACACAAACATATCAAATGGCTTCTTTCTTCTTCCTTTTTAAAACTTTGCACATTCTCTTCTCCTGCTTCTAATCCCCTCCCCTTTTGCTCCCATATACCCTTTCCACTCTTAGAATCATAGAAAATAAGGGTTGTAAGGGACCTCAGGAGGTCATCTAGTCCAATGCCCTAATCAAAGCAGGACTATCCCTGACTAGATCATCCCAAGCTAGGCTCTGTCTAGCCAGGTCTTAAAAACCTCCAAGGACGGAGGTTCCACAACCTCTCTGGGTAACCTGTTCCAGTGTTTTACTACTTTCCCAGTGAGAAAGTTCTCCCTAATATTTAACCTAAACTTCCCTTGCTGCAACTTGAGACTGTTTGTCCTTGTGTCATCTGCCACCACTAAGAACAGTGTAGCTCCATCCTCTTTCAAACCCCACTTCAGGTAGTTGAAGGCTGCTATTAAATCCCCACTGTCTTCTATTCTCTAGGCTAAATAAGCCCAGTTCCTCCCATCTCTTCTCATAAGTCATGTGCCCCAGGCCCCTCACCATTTTCAGTGCTCTCTGCTGTACTATCTCCAATTTGTCCACATCATTTCTGTAGTGGAGGGCCCAAAACTGAACACAGTACTCCACATATGGCCTCATCAGTGCCTAATAGAGGTGAATAATCATGTCCCTTGACCTACTGGCAAGACACCTAGCAATACAGCCCAGTATGCCATTAG